TTCAAACTTGTTACATAAGACTTAGAAAAATAATTTTGAAAATCCAAGTCCAATGCGCCCTGTAAGAAGTCTTCCTCGATCTAACAAAAAAAAAATTACGGAAATCGGACCAATCTACGAGGCGTGAGAGTTTTTCCTGTAAGGCATGTTTTTTTAGCAAAAAAACAGGTCGCGTGCAGGCCCCTTAATAGAATTTATGTTTATTGTAGAAAAATTTTCCAAAACTACTTTTTCATAAGCTTTGTCATTTGATAAATTTTGAGTTTTAAGTAATTCTTTAAAAAATTTAGGATATTTTGATTCTGAAATATTTTTAATTAGGTTCAGTTTTTCATAAATTCTGTTAGAAACTTCTTGCAGAGGAAACCTTGAACATTTCATAAATTTTTTAATTTCTTGTAAGTAGTTTTCATACTTAAAACAACTAAAAGATTCAAGTGGGCCATGTTTTAGAACAAAAAATGGTAGATGTATCAAACTATGAACATTATAGTTGATAAACTTTTGACCATACAGAACAGCATAATCTCTTACAAAAGTGTCCAGTAAAATTTGGGCTTTTGCATTTAAAGAAATACATGTTTCATGTGTAACAAGGATTCTTATTGCAGTTACCAAATGTAAAAAATGTACATTAAAGTTTTTTTTCAACTTTCCCTTTAAAACAATATGACCATAGTACAACAAAAAAACATCTCAATTCTGTAGCCTTCCAAAAATAAAAATCGTCAAGTGATCTAGGAAGTCTAGAAAATTCAGATGGTACATATGTTTTTAAATTTAAAATATTTTCATTTATATCATTTTTTGCTTCATCTAATAATCGTACATCTTTTTTTCCTTTCACCCAGAATTCTATAAGTTTTTTCATCACCCCAATATAAGTACAGTGCATATTATCAAGGGGCACGTCATCTGTTATATTAATTGGCAATATTTCAAGTACACTAGGCCCTTTATGGTAATACTCGTTTGTTTTATTCCTAAAACTTTCATTTGTTCTGATAGAGGAATCCATGGACAAAAAAGCCATTCTACCATCAATATATGTACCTTCATCGGTGCATGTATTACATCCAAAGTATGCATTAAAGCCTTTAACATTAAGTATATAAGATTTAGCTGGTGCATCACACACAATATGTCCAATTGTAATATTAAATAATCTACCATTTATTTGAATTCCCAATTGTATGATATTTAAAATATCATTTAAAAAATCAGCAGACGAGTCAGGTTTTTTTAATCCGTGATAAATACCTACCTACTGGTAAAACATATCTCGATAATACTGGTACATTACAAATACTAATTAAAATTGGCCAGAATTGGCTTTTAGAACTTTTTGATATTGGCAAACCATCCACATTTACACCTAATTTCAAGTCAGTTGTATCAATTAAATCAAATTCATGCTTATGTAATAGAGAACTAATAATTTGTTTAATATCAAAGTGTACATAAGCGCCAGGTTTCATAGACAATATGTTATGCTTTTTAGGCGTATTCATCAAAGTTCTACCATCTTTAGGGACATCCAAACCCTCACTTTTTAAAATAGTTAATAATTTATTTAAACAATCATGAGACACATTAAACTCTACATTCCAAGTTCTTAATTTATGACATATACCTATATTGTCATTTACAATAGTACTATCAATATCATTCACAGTTGCAGTACTTAAACTATCATTCAAGTGCAAAGACTCTTCACTATCATTTGTGGTATTAGTATAAGTTAATACATTTGGGATATCAGTTATTATCAATGAGTTACTTGAAATTTCTTTTTGTACAGGAGAAGTTGTAGCTTCAGACATTGTATTCATCATAGAAGTTGAATCTTGTTGCAGAGAAGATCCTAAATTGGCCATGCATCTATCTTGCTCGGCTTGTATTATTCTCCTCAAGTGACGACCTGTTATTTGACAAAGCTCTTTTCTATTCTTTTTCTAGAAATCATAAATAGTTACTTAACAAAAAAAAAAAGTAAAAAAAAATATACTTTTCCAATAAAACTTTTGGAATTCATAAATACCAACACAAACTTTTTATGTTAGATGATTATTAAATAACTATTAATTCCATTACTTTTATAAAAATATTTTATTTTCATGTAAAACCTTCTTACAATGTACATAAATTGTTATTAAATTATAAATGTGAAAGATAAAAATATTATTCTAATGTCAATGATCTTTTATGTCTAGTTGTGGCATAACGAAACCAATCTGCTAAAATCTTCTCGAATATAGCATCGCTGTAATCTTTTTTGACTGTTCTTTATACACTCTGTAATAAATTATAAATTTAAAAAGATTTTAGGTTAACGTAAGAAATAACTACCTATTTAAATTTATTACTTTTTAATACAACCACAATTTTCGAGTCACATAATTTAGTTGAGATATCCTTTCCTCTTCCAGTCCACGAACAACGTATGGCTAACTCATTACTAAAAGTCTTTGTAAGAACTCTCTTTATATTGTCTTTTCCACCAATAGATATAAAAAACTGCTCCTGAAGTTTTTAAATACGATTTAAATTATTTTTTATATCAAGTAAATTAATAAGATTTATATTATTATAAAAATATACTTGCCACTAATGAAACAAATGATCTTCCAATAAACATTTTGAAATATTTTGGAACATTTGCTCATTGGTCATGGGCCAATTTGACATAAAATTGGTATCAAAATTATGTAATGGGGATGAAATATTGTTGATCACTCCTAATTTGTTTACCGCTTTTTCTACATGATCAAGTTTTGACAACAAATGATCATACTTAATCCTACTTTGGATTTGTTCCATATAAATGGAATTTAATAATTCCATAATTTTATTCTGTTTATCTATTGGAGTGACTTCTATAATGGTAAATATGAAAGATACAAAATAAATTTTTTATGTTTGCAATATTAATTTTTTTTTTAAATTTTTTAAGTGTTATATATTATTGGACCTGGTTGAGTTGTATCCAAATGAACCATAGGATTTAAATTGTACACTGAATGAATTTCATTTGGAATTAATGAACTGCTACTCTATTTTTTCAACAAAAATACATTTTTTGATAACTAATCAAATTTATAGTAAAAATTATATAAAACATGAATTATATTTTTTCAACAAATTATTTATTTATAAACAGGTACCTGACCTTAATATTTAAATAGTTTAGGGTCAAATCAGGATGAATTAAAACAATTTAAACAAATAAATAACTAAAAATAATTAATTCAAAAATTCTAAGGAAATAGTATTATATAGGTAAACGTTTTATTTTTTTTTAATTTCAAATTTGTAATCATTTATTATCAGCTCTTTGTTCCTAAAAACTATGTGTACTTATTATATATATTTATATTATACTATAATATGTATACCTGAGGTATGTCAAAACTGTGAGACTTTGTAGTATTCAACGGTACATTTTCTGAACTTGTCGACGGAATTAAATTTACGTTACTTAATTCAGTATACTGATGCTCAGAAAAGGTATCTACAGTAGTTTGTTCTGGCATAACAGATTTTGGACCTTTAATAATCTTTTTCTGTTTATAAATATTGATACCTATAGATAAAAATAAAATAATTAAGCAATTATAAAAAAAAGTAATTAATTGATTAGGTACCTTCATCATCACTTGAAGTGTCAGATCTTCATGTATCATTGATGACTGACCATATAACCTTTTGTTTTATTTTTCATATTTAAAAGTTGCTGTTCCACTTCAGATGCTGATTCTTCAGACAATTCAACATGTTTATACCATGCCTTACTAAAATCACCTACAAATTGTTTATGTAAATATAATAAATTTAGCTTTATGTGCTAGCCTAGGTTCATTTTCATTAATACTATAGATATATTTAATAGATACATACTATATTCTTTGCCATTTTCATAAAGATTTATTCTATAAGTATTCCAATCATCTAATGGCTCCACAGCATCTTTTAAGAAATCACTAGTAACATTAAATGTCCTATGTGGCCATACACATTTTTCTATTCTATTGCCATCATTATTGACAGTTTTCAAAATCCAATTGGTTGGTATGACGCAATAATCATTACTGTCCGGAAATGTAGCAATCACCCAACGTTTTTTGATTAGTTTCTACAACAATGTAGGTATGCAAAATTAATAAAAAATATAAATTAATTATGAAAGTCAATGTGAACAGGTACCTACTACCTACAAAAAAAGTTACAACAAATATGATGAAAAATAACATAATAAATAACTAGAAAAAAATTATCTCAGACTTACTTTTTAATTCTTAAACGACAAAAAAAAGTTATAGGTACCTATATAACTATTCTAATAGACTGTGCTCTGCTCTTTATTTTAGTTTATGTGATTAAAATATGTTATTTCACTCGAACTGACTTAAAAAATATAATATGTCATTATTCTTGCTGAACGTTTTCATCATAGATTTTGTATTATCAACATTCAACATCTTGATAATCACAACTTAATCTATTTACTGTGGTCTATGATCTAAGGCTTCGATTCTAATAATTCATAGCTTTGCATGTAATTTATGAACACTAATAATTGTGGTATAAAACTATAAACGCAAGTGACAAATGATAATATTATTCAAATAAAAAGTCTACTATTGTATCATACATTTTTCAATTATAATTACATTATATTTCAAATAATAATTATATAATATATGATTTCCTAGTCTATGTTGTACATTTAGTACATTTGTGTAATTAAACAACTCTACAAAAACTAAAAATCATAATAGACCTCATAATTACCTGTCTTACAGCTGCAGGAGTCGAAAATCCACTACTTTGGTAATCCATTTCTTTCCGTAGAGACGAGTGAGTAATGAAAATATTAAACAACGTGAATAAAATATAAATACGAAAGAGAAAAACAACAAAACATGAACAATGTCGGAAAATAATAAGTGAAATAGTCAGTAGTCACATGGGTTATGATGACTTATGTAATATTGTAATAACTAGCTAGGTATTAAGGGGATTCGATCCGGTGATTTAATAAGGGGTCGTGTATAGGCAATTCGATGTATTATAGTCGTTTCGCAGTGTGTTTGTGTGCGAAGTAAATGATCATTAGTGTGCGTAGATACGTTCGGAATCAGTGGTTCGCACGCGCATGCACATGTCACATAATAAAATATTTGTTCCAACGAGAAACTAATTTCAATCAATTGAGACCTAAAAGCCTGACAAAAATACGATAACTTAGAATGATCAGATTTTAGTTCTGTAAACATATTTGAATTCATCGTTCTTTTTTCTAGGTTATTGTGGGAGTCGATTTTTGAATAACTGTTTAACTATTTAAAGAAAGACACTAACAATTTTCAAAAAATTGAGAAATCGAAATATGATTTAACGTTCTAAAAAAAATATCGAAAATTGATTCCCACAATAACCTAGGAAAATTGTCAATGAACTCGAATCTTTTTACAGAATTGAAATCTGATAATTCTAAGTAGGCGTATTTTTGTCAGGCTTTTAGGTCTAAATCATGAAATAAATACGCTGGATCGAATCCCCTTAACAAATATTATATTCTCTGGCATCCGCAGCAAAGATTGGAAAAGTGACAAATGACGATATAGTCAATAAGTTACAGTGCCCACTACCCAGCTATATAGCGCGCCCCACTTTCTGCGGGTTCGGCTTTACCGAAATCCGAATTGGAAAAACCGGTGATAGTGTTTATAACAATGGGATATAACTATTTGGGGATATTGGTAAGATTATAAATAAAGTGATAATATTATAATGGTTGAATGTAAGTTGAAAGTTATAATGGTGTTAACGAGTAAACAAGATTATTTCAATACAACAATAATTGAACATTGAATAAATATTATTTTGTAACAATGCATACATGTTAAACTTTTAACATTTCAGTAACGTTACTTGATGATATATTAGATATTATTTTTATGAAACAATTATACGACATTGCATTATTGTTACTTAGTAACATTTTATTGTGATCGAAACTTAACATAGCAGCAACATTTTGTAACTTAGATTGCACAGTGGGTACGTTTGAGATGCAACTGTCCGTCTGTTACGTACAGCCTTTCAGGGATCCAAAAGCTGATATACTTTTTATAATAAACAATAGTCAAATTAAAATTGCAATCAAATGTAGTTTTATTAAAACCAAATAATAAAGCCATATTATAGTCGTGGTAATTTGTAGTAGCGTGAATTTACTCGTTGTAGCAGCTGATAATCTCCATGTAGTTGTGTATAATGGCCGGTGGCATAAGCGGCTCGATCGGTCTTGGCGGCTCTGGTACATCTATCTGTATTGGAGCCTCTATACTCCGGACGGAATAAGAACGTACCTCGTCGCGCAGACGGGTTTCCCGTCTGCAACCTTGCTTAGTTATAAACATATAGTTATAGTCATAACTATGATCTGCGCGCAGCAAACTTGTTTTGGTCCGCCGCCCGGGTACGTTCTTATTCCGGCCGGAGTATATATATACGGAGGCGGCATCCTTTGAATTGAGCGGCGCGTGGCATGCAGGCGCCCTTGGTAAGTTTTAGTGGTTTGGTGCGTCTATTCTAGTCATAACCACTTTTGGGTGCGGTCGACAAGGTCACCTTTCACATAAGTGGTTCTTATATATATATATTCTTATATTACATGAAATGATTATAATTGCGTAATCCCACTACACGTCTTTTATTTCACAACATTTTATTTTCTTTGTGGCGATTTCGTCTTCTGGACTCATACTTTTTGCTGATGCTGGAATTTTATTTCAACTAAAGCATTACTGTCCACAAGACCATCAGGAGATGCTGCCAAAAATGATAGACCATGATCTACCATCAGGCCTGCATTTTTTATATTTTTCCCTATAACTTTTTTCTAACTGCTCTTTGGCCATGTCTTCATGCTGGATTCACATTGGCATATTGTTGGTCATATATAAAGTAGAATTTGCTTTACAGAAATATGATGTTTATATTAATAAATTTAATTATTGTTTTAGGCAAGACATGGAGACTTACCATTCATTATAATCAAACCCATTAAAGAATGACGTAATAGTGCGGTGTATGGACATTGTATGTTCAACTAAATTGTCATCAGTTTTCACAGATACAATAATATTATGGATTAATCGGTCAATTTCATGCATGTCAATGTAATTATTAAATTTAATTTTTAAGTCCAATTCTGGGAGGACACTCGACTTTGTCATAAATGTTGTGTTTAAATTCCCTGTAGATAAATTGATTTTAAATGTACACAATTGAATTATTTTTTTTTTTATATTTTTACTCACTTAATTCTCTCATGCAGAATAATATTTTCTACTATTTTGCTTTCTATTGTTTTTTTAATTTTTTTTTTTTTTATCTGCTTGTACCGATTTCTTAATTTTTGATAAATTTTTATTGTTTTGGAAGTATAGATTGGTAATTTTTTGTTTATTGTCTATGTATGTATATTGGTAATTTTGTTCTATTATAATTTTGACGATTTTGTTTTGAATTGTGTTTGTATTGGATATTATTGAACTTTGGGGACATAAAAGATGTGATTGTATGAGACTATTATGTCTCAAGTGATTATATTGATATTGTATTGCCCATTTTTGTTTAATGTGGTTTTTAATAAATCCACTGTTATATTACAATGCCCTAGTTTTTTTAATTCAAGCATGGCGTTTGCAACTAACTTTGCAGCATTTAAAAAAAAAGTTTTTTATTAATTTATATTTTTGTTTGTACATGACATGCACAACATTTTACTTACATGGTTGAATTCATCAATACTATTTTTTTTACTTCGCGGCTTCAATTTTTTTTTTTGGCTTATTAATATTTTTAATTTTAAGTTTTAAATTTCGGCCAAGAACTGGTGTTGGAAAAATTTCAGGGTACTGCAATATACTTGTTCTCCCATAATGCTCAATAAATTTTAATAAGTGTTCTTTGGAAAAAAAAACATAAAGAAGGTGGTCAAGTGGGTGTCGATCTACTGTACAGTAGGTTACAAGTGAGTCACTGTAATGGATTGTATAGGAAAGTATTTACCTCAATTTCTTTTAGAGTTACACCAGAAATAATTTAATTACTATTAAGTCTTTCAGTGGCATCATCTGGTTGAACATAAATTACATCGTCGACTGTATTCACATATTGATTTTTTAGACAAACGTCCTGTTCTTTTTGTGTACACGGACAACAGAAAAATTAATTTTGTTCTTTTGAAAAAAATCATAAATGCCGGTTTGAAGGCGAATTAACCCTTTAACGGGCAATTATTTCCCACCTCGGGAACGCGTATTGCCACGTCAAAAGGTTAAGACATCGTTTATTGAATGTAAAAAAAAAAATAAATTATTACATGGAAATAAACGCGTCCGTCGGACAAACAGCGGTAACGCTCTCGTCCGACGATTACAACAATATCGTTATTTTTTTGTTACAAAATTATTATTATTATTATTAGGATATAGTGTTCGATAGTCGACCAACCGGCGGGCCACCAGGGCGATGTTGCGGGCCGCGTTGACGTCTCGATTCCACATTTCGGGCAAAACTGGAACCTGTGATCGTGGCGTCGACGTCGACCGATCGCGATATCCCCGGTACTCTTCGGAGACGGCGGTGTTGATTCCTCTTTGTGTTTGGGCGGCATGGTCATGCGTTTCGCACAACTCGAACAGCACCGAGTGGTCATGTACTCGTCCACGTCCGCGACCGCGCACCGGTCTCGTCTCCGGTGAAACGCCCGGCGTAACGAACACACCGCGGGTTTGCGGTTCGCGCCGTAGCTCACGCCGTCCCGCAGCGATCCGTCGCCGAAACACACCAACACCTTTGGTGTTTGCGACCGTTTCTCAGTAGTTTTATCGTTATCCATGTCCAAAAGCCGTTGCACCAGCGAATCTTCAGCACCGCGTTTACACATTTTCCCGAACCACGCCAGTTTAGTGCCGGGCCACACTATCCGTTTTCACCGGTCCGTTGGTGACCGGTGAAAACGCATCCGTTAGCTGATAAAAACGAAACACATTAATATCAATGTAGGTGGCCACACTGTCCGGTACGCAACGTTCCGTCGTCCGTCAAACGGATCGCAACGCAACATGCTGCGTTGATAACGGATACCGGATAACGTTTTGTATATCGAAACACGTTGTTTTTAATTATAGTGGCCATACCATCCGTTTTTGTCTTCCGGTTTTCGTATGTGACGTACTTATAAAAAGGTATAGAAGTTTTTATATAACTTTAAAAAATTAGCACAGCTTCAAAGTTACAAAGTTTTGCTTTGCAATGTTCGAAACCGGTAAATTTATTGAATTGATCCAAAATAATAATGCCATACGGGAAACTGGGTTGAAGGAGTATAAAGATACAACTGCAAAAAATAACTGTTGGAATGAAATTGGAGGAACAATGTACCCCAATTGGATCGATCTGGACCAAAAAAAAAAAGATGATTTAAGTAAGTATTTAGATGCATGTTATTTTTATTTGATGTGCATAAGTAGGTAATAATAATAATTCAAATTGCTAACCTATTATTATTTATTATTAGGTATAAGGTAGGTACATAACATATAAAATATAATTAGTAATTATGATGTAACAATATTATTTAATTTAAATGAATTTGGTATTAAAGGGTAAATACTATTCACAAATATTTTCTTTTGATACTTCAGATAGTTAAAATTATTATGAATTAAAAATACAGTTACTTATTTGTCTACTAAATTATTCTTTTTATATTACATTACATGTTAAAATAGGTAGTTATAGGTATTTACAATAACTGATTATGAAAACCTGTGTATTAAACAAAAAAAATCATAAATGTGTTCTTCATTAAAATTAATTGAATTAAATAAAATTTAATTGTTGAAAATATTATATATTTGCAAATTGAAATGGTACAGCTCCTGGACCCATAAAATAATTTGCAAAGTAATCCCTGACTTGTGTACCTTGTGTTCGAGCTCCTGTTCCAACAGATACAATATCATCCATAGAATTTGTTTCAGCATTATTGTCTTCATAATTAAAACCATCCCTTCTTCTAACAAAATTATGTAGTATACAACATGTTTTAATAATTATATCTGTAAACTCTGGCTCTACTTGAATTGGAGTATGTAGGACACGCCACTTATTCGCTAAAACTCCAAAAGCGCATTCTACGGTCCGTCTGGCCCGAGAGAGTCTGTAATTGAATACCTTACGTGTTAAAGTTAAACCACGTCCTGGGTATGGCCTTAAAAGATTGGTATGAAGAGCAAATGCTTCATCTCCAATGAATACAAAAGGTTGTGGATTATTAATGTCATCTGGTAAATTTGCTGGATCTGGAAGCTTAAGCTGCTGTGAATAGAGTTTCACCCCTAAAGCACTTTCTCTGAAGACATTTGAATCGCCTTCTTTGCCATACGCTCCAACGTCTATAGCTATGAAACTAAGATTTGCATCAACGGCTGCCATCAAAACAATTGAAAAAAACTTCTTGTAATTAAAATATAGAGATCCAGCATTTTTGGGGTTCTTGCATCTGATATGTTTGCCATCAATCGCTCCAAGGCAGTTAGGAAAATTTGTTTTTGTGTGAAATGTGTTTGCTATTTCAATCCACATCTCCTTAGTTGGTTCAGGCATTTCAAAAGCTTGCAGTCTATTCCATATTACATGACAAGTCTCATATATTATATCACTAACAGTACTTCTTCCAATATTAAACTCAAAGACTAGTGATCTAAAAGACAGACCCGTAGACAGATATCTAAAAATATAGTTAAAATTATAGTTATTATTATATAATATATATAAATTGTATTAATTTAAAGCTGTTTGAATTTAGTTAAAGATATGAAAAACTCTTGGCGGCATATAAGGGACAATTACATGCGGTATTTGAATCAAGGAAAGAGTGGGGACTCAGCTAAAGCTAAAAAAAAATATGTATATGCTGATTCATTATCGTTCCTTCAACCTTCCCTTGAAAAAAGAAAGTAATTGTTAATTTATTCATTTACCTAATCATTTATAAATATATTATTTGAGTAAACAATCATTTGTATTATTCTTAAGGACAAGTGGAAATGTTAAAGTTATAGAAGAATCCACAAATCCACAAGAGTTAGACATGTCTACAAATGAAGAAGGGGTTGATTCAGAAGCTGACGATTATAGAGCCTCTCTTTCCCCAGATATTTCTTCGTCTTACATAGCCACTCGACAGTCAAAAAAACAAAAAAAAACATCTACAGAATCTCTTTTTCAATCAAAAATAATAAAACTACTACAAACTGATGAAACCCCAGATCCAGATACTACAATTTTGATGTCATTCTTACCAAAGTTAAGAATGTTAACTGAAGACCAAAAAACCGACTTTCAAATATATGTATTACAGTTTTTTAAAAACTTATCTCGACCCTATCAACCCAATATGTATAACTATCTGCAACCAATAAACAGTTATGTAGACAATCCCTCAAGGTTTCAAAATATTCAAACAACTCCACAACATCAACTAACACAGTTACATTCTCCATCTGCCTTTAACCAACCACAAACATATACAAGTACAATGCAACATCACATGGCACAGCAACAAGCATTTGAAGCAGAACCACCAAGTACACAGGGCCACCTTTCTGAATACCCTAATTAGGTTAGGTCTGTGTTAAATTTTTATTTTATAAAAGTTTGTTACTTTTTTTTATTGTTATTATTATTTTTTGTTTAATGGCATACTTAAATTTATATTGTTAAATTGTTACTATTATAAGAACAAGTAAGTTTCTAAAGGTTACAATAGTATTCCTATTGAGAATTCACATTAAGTTGTGTTTTAATTTTTAAAATTGTGTACATTTGTACTTAAATGTAATGTACTGATGTTACTAAGTTTCTGAAAGTTTATAATAAAGAAAAGTTTGAGAATTTGTTGTAGTTATTAAAATTAAGTTAAATTCTGTTAAACAGCGCAGCCAAGTTAAGTTCAATGTATACCTATCATTGGCAGTGGCGTAAATTGTTTGGTGCAAATGTTGAAAATCATTAAAATTTGTATTGGTACCTTTGTTTTAGTTTCTATTATTAAAAGTATTTATTTATTTATTAAAAAAATATCTATGCAAATATTATTAGCATTTGAAGTATCAGAATAAAATCTTAAAAATGTGTAAACTATTTTGAGTCAGAAATTCATAAGCAATTTTCTATTTATATTTAAGATTTGTAAATTGAGAATAAGAAAGTTTATTTTGCATTTTTAGGAAATTTTAGTTTTTAGGTCATTTTCTTAATTTTTAGGGCATTTTAGAGGTGTTGGAGCATTTTTTGATTTTGTGGAAACTAAGAATGAATTTGAAATTTTATTTTAAGATTTCTACACCAACAAGGTGAAAAAAATATTATTTTTTTCCAGATTGAACGAAGTACAAGTCTATAAGATCTAGCTTTGGGTACAATTTTTTTTTTAGATTTATACTAACACTGTAAACACTTGTAAAATATTTTTATAATGCATTATTTTTTAAACTTTTAATTGTAATTCATATAATTTTATTTATACCAAAATTATTAAAAATAAAAATTTTAGTAGTGCATAATTTATAGTTTTTAGGTCAAAAGCATTTTTTTTTTTAGGTCATTTTTCGGGGTTTTTAAGGGCATTAAAAGTTTTTTAGCTTTACGTAAGATTTTTTTTTATTTCTTCGTTTTTAGCAGAAACAAAAATTATGTTTGTAATGATTATAGGTATATCAAATATTAGAATTAAGAATTGATCAAAATTTCGAAAATTTTCAGTTAGAAATTTTTAAAAGTTTTTCGTTTTATAGCTAACATTAAAAATGTTGATAGAAGACTCCTCACAATTGGTCCCACCTAAACCAAAAAAAAAGTTTACTGGAAAGTAACATACATTTTTTATGAGCGTTTGACCTTAAAATGTGCACAACATTGAATTTTCAATTTTCATCAGTAAATTAACGAATTTTCATCTATCAATTTTTGATATTTTGTTGTAATTTAAATACGAATAATCCTAGATACTGGAAATTTTTACCAAATGTTAAAATTAAAATTTTCCTTACATGGTAAAATTTTAAAACGATTTTATATTTTATAACTATGAGAAATTTTTAAAATATTTAAATTATTTTTCAGTTAGAAATTCATAAAAGATTTTCTTTTCATAGCTAAGATTTAAAATTTTAATAAAAGATTTCACATAAGTTTTTCTACCTATAAAAAAAAACGTACATAAATAATTTATTCTAAATAAGTTCCATTTCAATTCATGAAATGTTTTTAAAAATTATAAATAAATGTTAATATTTTTATTTATTTTTTGTTACTTACCTTAAAGTTATTGCAAGTCTTTTTTCAGCACAGATGGATTGACGTAGTACAGTATCTTCTTTGGTTATGTCACCGCGAATATGCAATAGTAACTCTTCAAATGTGTTGATACTCATACGGAAATAGTCAAAAAATTTATCAGGGTAATTCTTGATTTCCGAATAAAATGTGTCGAAGGATTTTAATTTTTCTAAATTCATATTTAGAGGATGAATCCAGTGTTTCCTCGAACAACTTCTTGGTTTATCTTCTAGCATACCAAGGGCTTCTAATGCAGCAATTAATTTTATTTTTTTATTTCTATTCATTTTTTTAAAAACCGAAACCAACTCAACAAAATTCAAAAACCGTGTACACCTTACCTTTGCATTATACACATATGCTTATTGATTATTCAACTTTCAACTATCTACATTTAACCAATCATTATCAATTAACAAATTAATAAATCAATACCTAACCTAAAGTATGAATAATCAAACCATAGAGGGAAGAAATATGGTGGGAAAAACTTATTTATCTGACCTAACCTAATAAAACGGACTGAAAAAACGGATTGTGTGGCCACCCATAATCGTCCGGTAAAAACGGTCCGGTAATTTGATAAATTTTAGCGGACCGGTGAAAACGGATAGTGTGGCCCGGCACTTAGTGAGCTTGTGCCGAGAAAATCGTAAATGCGAGCGTTCGTGGTGACGCAAGCGGTACGCGGTGTACGCCAGAGCGTCGGCGTACGTCGAGCAGCACTTGGATGTCATTTTTTCAGATTCCTTACGGTATTGTAAGAGTTCACGTTCCTACCGGCCAATCAGTTTTTCACGTCGGCGTTTGATTATCCGTTCCTTGCACTCGAATTGTTTAAACTTGGCAGTTTTCAACGTATAGTTACGTTTACGATCCACGTTATCGAGGTAACATGCGCCCACATAATTGACCACGCCGGGATCCAGTCCCAGAAATCCGGAAAACTTGGACAGATCGACGGGATCGCGGTCGTCCGTTTGTTTTCGCTTCGATCTTTTGCTCTTTGGTCCGATAGAATCGTTGTTTTTCGGCTCGAAACGTTCCATGGCCACGCAGCAGTAAGCGCCGTTCGTGGTGAACGACATGCCAAATTTTGTGCGATCCCGATGCGCGGTTATCGCGTTCGTCTGGGGATCCAAGCGGCCGTAGCGTCTGCCAGAGAGGTTGAAATACCGCCACCAGTACGTCGGAGTGTTGTTCATAAAGTCGTAGATGTCAGATGTGCATTCCGAAGGTTTTACCGAACGCAATAGTTCGTGTAAAGCCCGAGCGTTGTACCGCAAGTGTTTGGGGCCGGGGCGGAAAACCGGAAACACCGAAAAGGATCGCGAGCCGTTCCGCTCGAACCACGTGGCCAGCCGGTGCGAAAAGGGAACCAGACTCCACCAATTGTTCTCGGCGTCCGCGAAACCTCGGTAGTCCGCAGGCAATCCGAAAGCGTCAAACATTTCGCAGATTTCCAAACTGCGGACCGTCAGACGGTCCCGCGAGAACAGCTCTTCGTAAACCCGACACGTCCACACCCATTTGGGCGCTTTGCGTTCGTGTTTGAGGTACAGGTAACGCACTACGCGATCGAACAGGTGGACGCAAACGCAATTCTTCATCGCGGTCTCGTGTTGTACCGCTATGGATTGGATCAGATACGTTCGTAGTTTACCGTCGTAGATCCGTTGCAAACCGGCCCGTTCGCGCATGGCGAAATACTCTTCGTCAAGCGGTACGCGTTTCTTGCGCTGTCGTTTTCCCTGCAGATGATAGTAAAAATCTAGCAAGTGGTTTTGCGTGAACACCGTCGGCATCACGTCTTCGGCAGAGTGTAGCAATTTCGTATAGTGATAATGAACGTAAATCGAAGCTTCCACGGCCAGAGCCGACACTTCGAACACGTCGGCGACCATGCGTTCGCGCAACTCGCGGTCCCGACAAAACTTGACGAAACCCTCCTGCACGGTGTACGTCGTAACGTTTAAACGTTTACGTTAGCTTCGTCGTTAGCCGCGAACCGTCGTTTTTGCGGCAACACGCGCTGCGCGCACTTGGCCGAGGACACTCGCGAGTGATCCGTGCCGCCGCATCGTTTACACGACGCCGGCGATGACGATTGTACTACGACCATTGCCGTTTGCAATACTCAAGCTACGGGTCGTCGACAACCGATATTTATACCGAAAAAAAATAAAGATAACCAAAATATTTGATATAAACGTGTTTTTTACTACAAAAATAATGACGTTGTTTTACATGAATTATCGGTTAAGAGGTGGGAAATATTTGCCCGTTAAAGGGCTAAAGAAAATCTAAAATAACGATCGACGGTTCGAAGGCAACTGAAGGAAAATTGGAATGGAATTGGTAAAAACACTTAAAACCGTTAAATATATTTTAAATTCAAAAAACAATGGATGTACCTGAACTCGCCATTTCATGTGTCAAGAATGTACGGAAACGGCACAGGTTTATAGAGGTTCATCGTCATAGAGAAAACATAAAATAAAAAATAAGCGCAAATAGGTACCTTCCTAAACGTATAACGGCCGTAGGCAAAGTGAACTGCAATCGCGAAAGTCGTCGGTCACCACCACAGATTGCAGGGCGTATTATGGCGAGGAGGTGGTCGGATTACTAGTGCGTCGGCGACAGCTGCATGCAATCGGAATTTATCACACGAAATTATAACAATAGACGGTTAATTCGATATAAAGACGAACAATTGTCGTCAATTCTTCATAATAATATACCGAATGACCGTTATAGAGACCCATTTAGACACTTTAGGCTGTACAGCAGGGTGACTTCCCCGGTTTAATAGTTTGCACTTTACATAAAAAAACTTTGATGTAAAGTTGTAGATCTCAAGTGAAACTCTCATTGAGTATGCAGTGACTGTAGTACTGTCTTAATTTTTAATAACCAAGGTTACTTACTACAATTTTAACAGATGTTCGTATTTGTTTGTTTTTTTTTTGATTATTTAAAAAGAGGAACGAGAAACGTCTTGTTTTGACCCACCTGCAAAGCACAAAGTATAGCTACTAGAAATCCAGAAACCTCCCTCAAAATAAATATTTTAGGCTCTCAGTAGAGCGATGAATATCCATCGACCTTACCATGATAATAATTATGTGTTTTTATTTTTAAAATAAATTATAAATTGTTTATTTTCTGGCATCAAAGTGGATCTATAGTTTGTAATTTGATACCTACTGTACAACAAAGCGATTACTTATTTTGTTGTACATTTTACCAGCAATTAAAATTTTAAATAATATTATTATATATCTAAAAAATTTAAAGTATGTACAATTTTTCGCAAGGTGTGCACGATTTAGTATAGTATATACTATATAGAGATACAATGTTCTCGACAGCCGACAGTAAGTAGGTATTAGCTTTGGTTTCTTACAACTACCTATATTAAATATTAAGTAATAATTAAATAATACATATACAGTGTGTTTCACTCAAATGGTAACACGAAATATTTTCGTTCGGTGACCTTGGATTGAATTGGGGTATTTTCGAGGAGCTATGGAATACTAAAATACACATTTTGTGATCATTTTCGAATTTTTAATTCTTTAATTGTGCGCATGCGCAATAAAACTTACATTTTTTTAAATGGAAACACCTATTTTCAACACCATATTTCGATAGAACTATTTTTTTAAGCAACTTTGATACACAAACTTTTTTCCTATCTCAAAAATTGACTGAACTACAGCAATCCTAAGTTTAAACAACAAAAAAGTGTTGCTAAATTTTAAATGTTCTGTAGTTTGTCATTTTATTATTATTTTTGGTTGGAAGCAAGATAAATGGAAGGGCAGGCGTTAATAGGTTATTTAAATAAAGTTTTTTTTTTTTAAAGTTAAACATTTTATTTTTATAATTAAGTTTAAATTTAATTACTTATTTTTAAACATATTATTACAAATAATACAAATCACCTTATAAATTGTTCAAAGTTTTCCCCGTTGTTAAGTAAACATGATTGTAAGCGGCGCTTGACTTCGTTTTGAGAAGCTGCCGTTATTTGTTCCTTGGTCAGTCTTGTGCATGCTTCGGTGATATTTTGTTTTAAATGCCGAAGGTTAATTGGTGGGTCAGCATAAACTACAGTTTTTAAATGACCCCAAAGAAAAAAATCAAGTGGTGTCAAATCCGGTGAACGCGCTGGCCAAGCCATCGGTCCATTTGTTCCCATCCAATTATTTCCAAACTTATCGTCAAGGTATTGTCTAACAACAATAGCATTATGTGCCGGAGCACCATATTGTTGAAAAATCAAGTTTCCTGAATATTTAAAAGAACATTTTCCAATATTGGTGGTAAATGGTTAGAGAGAAAATCCAAATATCTTCTTCCATTTAAGGTTCCGTCATAAAAGTAGGGCCCTATTATGGAATCTCCTAATATTCCACACCACACATTGGTTCCCCACACTGTTTGGAAATTCGTTTCAATTGCCCAATGTGGATTATTACTTGCCCAAAAACGGTTATTTTGTTTATTTATCACGCCATTATTGGTAAATTTACTTTCATCGGTCCAAAGAACATACTTTAAAAATTGAGGATTATCTTCAATTTTTACCAGTACCCATGCAATAAATAATAATCTACGTTCACTATCTCCTGCTCGAAGATGGTGAACTAAATCCGGTTTATAGGGACGAAGTTTAAATTTTTTTAAAATTGAATGTACCTTGCGTGGGTTAATTCCAACTTCATTTCCAATATGACGTATGGATGATCGTGGGTTAATTTGAACATACGCCAATACTTGTGTTTCAGTTTCTTCGTTAACTTCAGCCTGTACTTGTGGTATTTGACGACGATTACCTCTACTTCCAAATGAACCATAAGTTCGGATTTGATTTTCGAGCCTTAAAAAATAATTATGCGCCGGTTGATATCTATTGGGATATCTTTCGGCGTATAATTGTGCAGCTTGGCGAGAATTTCGATGGCACTCATTACAAATTAATATCATATCCAATTTTTCACTATAACTAGCCATTTGTGTATTATAAATATGCGGAAATATTAAAATAAAACAATAAAAAACCAGAATTCAATGCAAATGTATCCAATACGAACGTATTCTTGGTTTGAATAATCAAATTTTAATTATGAATTTATAACTTTCAGTGAAATAACTTAATAATCTAAAATAGGTAGGTAGTAGGTACCCATTTAATAAGATAAACGAAGATAGGTAGTAGTGAACTACATAGTGTTATCCACTAGTCAGCCGATAAAGACGTTTTAAATACAATTATTTTGTGCTATCTGATTCACAATACAATTAGAATTATTTTGAAATAATTAATTAAATTTATATTTAATTATAAAAATAAAATGTTTAACTTTATTTAAATAACCTATAAACGCCTGCCCTTCCATTTATCTTGCTTCCAACCAAAAATAATAATAAAATTACAAAATACAGAACATTGAAAATTGAGCAACAATTTTTTTTGTTTAAACTTAGGATTGCTGTAGTTCAGTCAATTTTTGAGATAGGAAAAAAGTTTGTGTATCAAAGTTGCTTAAAAAAATAGTTCTATCGAAATATGGTGTTGAAAATAGGTGTTTCCATTAAAAAAAATGTAAGTTTTATTGCGCATGCGCACAATAAAATAATTAAAAATTCGAAAATGATCACAAAATGTGTATTTTAGTATTCCATAGCTCCTCGAAAAAAACCCAATTCAATCCAAGGTCACCGAACGAAAATATTTCGTGTTACCATTTGAGTGAAACACACTGTATTTGCGTTGAGGCGATAGAACATTTATTACATAAGATATTAGATTAGATACATTGGTTAATATAGTTATATATTATTTTCATAATATTATGATTATTATTAATAGGGTTCGGATTTGAAGGCAATATAATCAATAAAAAAAAGCATTTAAAATGTAAAAAAAGGCATTTAATTTATATAAAAAGGCAATTCATAAATATACTACAAAATAAAATAGTGAACATTTTTTAAACACTTTTAAATGCACACATTTTGAGAAAAATACAAATTAAAAATGAGCATGACTACTAAACTACATTAAGTTTATGCTATTTTGTATAAATAGATTAGGTACGTTTTTCTTTAACCAGGTTCAATACTCGATAAGACGATATCGATAAATATTGCGAATAATAAAACCCTTTTGTAACGATAATACGCATGCTGTGTATAAAATTATAAAATCAACTGACAAATTAAACACAAAATAGCATTTATAAGTACAAAAGGTAAAAAAAAAGGCAAAAAAGCATTTATAAGTAAAAAGGCAAAAAAAAAAAAGATCCATCCTCTAAGAAATTAAATGAAACACATTTTTGTACAAAAATTATTTTTCTATTATGATTAATAAAAGAAAGGCATTTGCCTTCAAATCCGAACCCTAATTATTAATATTATAATCATCTTCTAAGCTCTAATTCGTGAATCACTTTTTTCAACTTCATATTTTCAGCTTGTAATGTTTTTGCCTTTAACCCTTTTTTTGTTCCTCACTATATAACATGATTAAAGTAATGAAATATTTTATAATATTTTAAACATCTATATAATATTAATTAATATTAATATTGATTTACCAACTAAAATTCTATAATAATGTCTAAGTTCCTCGTCGTACATTTTCCACGAATCAACACTAATTGGAATATATTTGATGAGTTGAGACCAATATTCTTGTAAATCATTTTCACTAATTATCCACTGTACAAAATTATATTCTTTTTTTAATCTTTGGGATAATGACATTGGTTTTGAGAAACGTGTTGATTGCGATTCTTTTATTATCTCTTTCATTATATGCATGAAATGCTTGTTGTCAATGGATAATTTATGATTCAAATTTCCTCATCGAGTATTGTTAAGTGAT